TCCCCCCCCCCCCCCCCCCCCCATATCCTTTATTCCCCTTTTCTGTATTGGAAATAGTGTTAACCCAAGGCTGCCGACCCTAAGGACCCTCCCCAGATGGCCTCTTCAGAAGAATTTGCTCTTTCACCTCTTCAAGAGCACATGGCTTCTACCTCTGACTAAAAACAGATTCTGCCTCTTTTAGTGTCGCTGTAATTTTTTAAAAATTTCTTTATTTAATTTGATTTGTTGTTATTATTTTTTAATTTGACGAAAGAGACAGAGAGAGGAACAAAAGGTGAAAGTGAGAAAGCAAGCTGTCAGGTCTGGGATTTGAACTGCGCTTGGCCATGTGGGAATCCAGCACCTTAACCACCACGCCACCTGCCGGCTCCATGTTATTGACAAACCTGTCTACCTCCCTAGGTTGAGTTCCTTTTTTTTTTGGAGAGGTTTTTGCTATAGGGCATGTGCACTCGCCAGAAAGACAGAAAGAGACAGAGAGACAGAAAGTGAGAAATCACCCCCCAGGGGGGATGGCCACACCGCAATCCCTTCTCCTCCATTCTCCTCTCGGGATCTTGGGCACGCATGCACACGTGCCCAGCGTGAGTTTAAGCCACCGGGTCCGGGACTGGAACCACGGTTGGCTACATGGGAGTTCAGCGACATAGCCATTACACCAAGTGCTAGTCCCATAGATTGAGTCCCATGAGGAAGAGGTGGGGCTCTTGTACTTCTAAGACAGAACTAGAAGATGTTATTTCCAGCAACCCCGAAGCTGATGGTCAGACTGAGAAATAGACAAATCCCATTTTTTGGAAAACTGATGACCAGGCTTCAAAGAAGAGAGTAAGAGGAGTCTGGATCTTAGCAAGGCTGAGATACCAGCCCTGCTGGAGGACAAGCCTTGTCATCACTCTCCACACTTCAAAAACAGTGAACTTAACAAATGCAACAAAGCCGAGACCCCACCGAAGCACACGTTCGATTGATTCAGATCCCTTCACACTAGAAGCCCAACAAAGGAGCATGCGCTTTTCCAAGGATAAGATTTGGACTGTGCTGGGAACCAGCAGTTGGCGTCATGGCTATGTCGCTGGACTCCCACATAGTAGACCGTGGTTCAAGTCCCGGACCTGGTGGCTTAAAACTCACGCCAGGCGCGTGTGCGTGCGTGCCCAAGATCCCGAGAGGAGAATGGAGGAGAAGGGATTGCGGCGTGGTCATCCCCCCGGGGGAATGATTTCTTGCTTTCTGTCTCTCTGTCTGTCTCTGTCTTTCCGGTGAGTGCACGCGCCCTATAGCAAAACCTCTCCAAAAAAAAAAAAAAAAAGAATTAATAAATGAAATAAATATTTTTAAAATGGAAATTCATGCAGTGCAGTTTTTCTGTAATATGCATTTACCATTCATTTCTTGAAGACTTTTGTCATACGTGCTGGAGAACAATTCCATGCACTTTTTGGCCCACCGTAACCCTTTGAGGGGGTCCTGGCGTCACCTTCCACTTAACAGGGGAGGAAACTGAGACACCAGTGGTTACAGAACATGCTTAGAATAGTGGAGCTACTGTGTAGCTGAGCCCCCAGGTCACACCCAAGCTCTTCACCGGTCACCCTGGATAGGCTTGATCAGCATTCTTTTTTTTCTTTTTCTTTTTTTGGAGAGGGGTGTTTTTTTGTTTGTTTGTTTGTTTGTTTGTTTGGCTATAGGGCGCGTGCGCTCGCCAGACAGACAGAGAGAGACAGAGAGACAGAAAGCGAGAAATCACCCCCCAGGGGGGATGGCCACACTGCAATCCCTTCTCTTCCATTCTCCTCTTGGGATCTTGGGCACGCACGCACATGCACCTGGCGTGAGTTTAAGCCACCGGGTCTGGGACTCGAACCGCCGTCGACTACATGGGAGTCCAGCAACATAGCCATTACTCTAACTGCTGGTCCCTTGATGAGCATTCTTGACTCTGCACAGGTGTTCTCCGAAGGCGACAGATTGCTCGAGAAGCTTCCAGATGCTGTGGGGTTCCTGGTGGTCTCTGAAGATGAGTCCCTTCTTGCTGCAGGTAATATTTGGCTCTTGCTTTGGAGGGTTGAGGGAGCCAACCAAGACTGGGTTGGGAACCCAGTGGTGGGGCATCAGTAATACAATTGGACCCACATGAGAAAGGTCTTGTGTTCACATCCTAGGGCCTCCCTGAGCATGCTAGGGCATACGTGCCTACAATCCAGGCCAGCTGAGACTAAGGGTGGACCACTAGGGGTGTGAGGATACTACTGAGGGTTTCTGTCTCCCTCTCTCTCTGTCTCTAATGAAAAAAATAATCAACATGAAATATATATTGGATTGGAAATGGGGACAGGGCTTGGGGACAAAGGCTTGGGGACAAAGGCTTGGGGGTTCGAGCAGGTGGCATGGTGAATAAGGTGCTGGACACTCCTACATGGCCAACCATGGTTCGAGTCCTGGACCTGGTGGCTTCCCTTCTCTCTCTCTCTCTCTCTCTGGTCAGATTAAAATGAGTGAATAAATAAAATTAAATAAATAATTCTTAAAAAAAAAAAAAAAAAAGAGGAGTCTTGGGGGTAGCAGCAGATAGCATGATGGTTAAGGTGCTGGATTCCACATGACCGACTCCATAGTTCAAGTCCCCTATAGTTCGAGTTCCTTAAGACCCAGTGACTTGAACTTGCTGGGCATGTGTATGTGCGTGTCCCAAATCCTAAGAGCAGAATGGAGGAGAGTTAAGACCTAATGGGAGGACACCATCCAATCAGGTGGGAGTGTGGGAGGGACAAGCACAGGAAGTGGACACTGTGTTTCCTGTCTCTGTGCACCTGTCCGTTCTCTTCTCTGCTTTTGTATGCCATGGTGCATCAGAGACAGACTTGGTGCAAACTCCATGCCCTTGAACTTCCCAGCTGCTGGCATCATGAGCCAAATAAACCTCTATTCTTTATCCCTCGCCTAGACTCAGGTATTGCTACTTAGTGACACAATAACTGACCACGGGATGTAGAAATGACTAAGTTGACCTGCCAACTGTTGGGGTATGTGCCATGGTGCACTCACTCATGGGGCAAAAAGAGTCTGCTTTGTCTTCAGTAAACTAAAAAAAATAACTACCTCTGTCGGATGAATGAATTACTCTAAGGTTCCTCCAGGCACCAGAGCCATAACCCCAGTCCCTGCTGTTCCAGGCTTCGGGAGATCCGTGCGGATATTCTTAGCTGATTCTCAGGGCTTTCACCGATTCATGGCCACTGACCTGGAACACGATGACGCAGTCGAGACGGCCGTTTTTGGTCCTGAGAACAACCTGATCGTCACGGGGTCCCGTGATGCGCTTATTCAGGTGAGGAGCGATCCAGCCAGCCCCCACCCTCACCCTCACCTCTGCCTTTACAATAGAAAAGGAGATTCTTTTTTTAAATATACCGCAGCCCAGAAACTAGATAGGCGAGTGGGTTTCAGCGTTTTTCTGAGCTATGTCTGTGTAAGGAAGAGGCCAGATCGGTCCCTGTGTTCTCCATCCTCAGGTTTGGAACCTTTCGGAGCAGGGGACCCTGATGGACATCCTGGAAGGTGTGGGAGCCCCCGTGACACTGCTGGCCCGAGGTGGGGTTTTAGTGGCTTCTGCTTCCCAGCAATCCTCCTCGTTCAAAGTCTGGGACCTCGCCTCTGCCCAGAAGCCACGGGTTTCCACTCCCTTTCTGGACCGTACCGGCCTCACCGCGGTGTCCCACAATGGAAGCTTCGTCTACTTTCCCAGAATTGGGGACAAAAACAAAGTCACCATCTGGGACTTGGCAGAAGGTAGGTAAGATACGCATGCACACACACGCACACACACACGCACGCACTCACGAGCCTGCAGGTGGCGTGGTGGTGAAGGCTCTGGACTCCCACATGGCCAACCACGGTTCGAGTCTGGCCCTCGTGGCTTGAAATTCATGCCAGGCGTGTGTCCATGTATCCCTGAAATTCCAGGAGGAGAATGGAGGGGAAGGGATGGCAGCGTGGCCATCTCCGCTGGGGAGGGGGTGGTGATTTCTCACTTCTCCGTTCTCTCTTTTTTTTCTTTTTTTTTTGAGTTTTTTGCTACAGGGCGCATGCACTTGCCTTAAAGACAGAGAGCTACAGAAAGCGAGAGATCACCCCCCAGGGGGGATGGCCATGCCGCAATGCCTTCTCCTCCATTCTCCTCTCGGGATCTTGGGCACGCACGCACACGTGCCCGGCGTGAGTTTAAGCCACCGGGTCCGGGACTCGAACCACGCTTGACTACATGGGAGTCCAGCGACATAGCCATGACGCTAATTGCTGATCCCTCTGATCAGTTCTTACTGTGGTTTTTCACCCCTGGCAGGTGAGGAACAAGATGCCCTGGACACTTCCAACGAGGTCAGGTGTCTGGAGGTCGCGGAGCAGGCCAAACTCCTTTTCACCGGCCTTGTTTCGGGGATCGTCCTCGTGTTCCCCCTGAATTCCAGGCAGGATGTCATCTGCATCCCCCCTCCTGAAGCCCGGAAAGCCATTAACTGCATGTCCCTGAGCAAAAACGAGGACCGTCTGGCCATCGCCTATGACAACATCGTCTTAGTGCTGGACATCAGCCCCGGGGACCCATGTCCGGTCATTGGTGGGCCCACGTACACCTTTTATACCCAGCTACCTGAGACCATCTGCAGCGTGGCCGTGTTGAGCGACTACCGCGTGGTCTACGGCATGACCAATGGCGATGTTTTTCTTTACGAGTGTGCGAATTCGAAAGTGTTCCCGTTGGAGGCCCACAGGAGCCGGGTCACGTGTGTGGAGGTGGGCCACACGGAGCAGCTGGCTGTCAGCGGATCCGAGGAATCCCTGCTGTGCCTTTGGGACCTGCAGGCGTGCAAGTGGAAATTTGAGATGAGCTACACGGTACGTGGCCTGCCAGGCCTAGGTCGCATCAGACTCTGGTTTTAGAACAGACAGGGACCAGGGCCAGCAGGTGGCGTGGTGGTTAAGGTGTTGGAATTCCTACATGACTGTGGTTCGAGTTCCAGATCCGGCAGCTTGCTTTCTCTCTCTTTCTCTCTCTGTCTCTGGCAAAACTCACGTGAAAATAATAATAATAATAATAAAATAAATAATGCTTAAAAAAAAAAAAAGGACAGGGGCCAGCAGGTGGCATAATGGTTACATTGCTGGACTCCAGTGTAGTTGACTGTGGTTCAAGTCCCGGACCTGATAGCTTAAATTCAAATCAGTGTGTATGTGTTTGTGTGCGTGTGCGTGCGTGCCCAAAATCCCAAGACAAGAATGGAGGAGAAGGGATTGCGGCGTGGCCATCCCCACTGGAGCCTGATTTCTTGTTTTCTGTCTCTCTGCTTCTCTCTGTCTCTCCAGTGAGCACACACGCCCTATAGCAAAAATTCCTCCAAAAAATAAGAAAAAAGAAAATGAAAGACAAGGGCCAGCAGATGGCATAGTAGTTGAGAAACTTGATCCCACAAGGGCAACTGCACGGTTCGAGTCCTGGACTCTGTGGCTTGAAAAACACGCTGGGGGGACCAGCAGTTAGCATAATGGCTATGTCACTGGACTTGCGTATAGTCAACCACAGGTCGAGTCCCAAACCCGGTGGCTTAAACTCACACCGGGCGCGTGTGCGTGCGTGCCCAAGATCCCGAGAGGAGAATGGAGGAGAAGGGATTGCGGTGTGGCCATACTCCTGGGGGGTGATTTCTCGCTTTCTGTGTCTTTCTCTCTCTCTGTGTCTTTCTGGCGAGTGCACGTGCCCTATAGCAAAAACCTCTCCAAAAAAGAAGGAAAAAAAAAAAAAAAGACAAGCCAGGCATATGGCTGTCTGGGTGCATGTACGTGTATACCCGAAATCCAGACAGAGTGCAGGAGAAGGGATTGCAGTGTGGCCATCCTTTCTGGGAGTGATTTCTCACTTTCCCCTTCTCTCTGTCTCTCTCTGACAAGTGCATGTGTCCTATGGCAAAGGACATAGAAAAGTGACCTAGAGGAAAAGCCAGTAGTGTGGTGGTTCAGGCAGCTGGATTCCCCCATGGCCGACTCCAAGGTTCAAGTTTTGCAACTGACAGCTTAAAAGTCACACCAGGCACTTGTGCATGCAAGTTCATAATCCCAAGAGGAGCATGGAGGAGAAGGGATTGCCATGGGGCCATCCCCTCCGGAGGTGGCTTCTCACGTTCCCCTCTCACTCTGTCACTCTATCTCTGGCAAGCATATGCACCCTTTGGCAATTATTTTTCAGAGAATTACTTTAGGGACCAGCAGGTGGCATAATGGCTGTGTCACTGGACTCCCATGTAGTCGATCACGGTTCGAGTCCCAGACCCGGTGGCTTAAAACTCACACCGGGCGCGTGTGCGTGCGTGCCCAAGATCCCGAGAGGAGAATGGAGGAGAAGGGATTGCGGTGTGGCCATACTCCTGGGGGGTGATTTCTCGCTTTCTGTGTCTTTCTCTCTCTCTGTGTCTTTCTGGCGAGTGCACGTGCCCTATAGCAAAAACCTCTCCAAAAAAGAAGGAAAAAAAAAAAAAAAGACAAGCCAGGCATATGGCTGTCGCAATTGGTAAAACCCTTGATACCAAAAAAAAAAAAAAAAGGAAAAGGAAAAAAGGGACCAGAAGTTGGGGCAAATTAGAAACTAATAATAACACATAGCATTAAATAAATCAATATTTCAAAAGTTATTTGACGTTATTTTTTTATTTTAATTTGACCAGTGAGGGACACAGTGAGAGAGAGAGAGACAGAGACAGAGAAAGTGAGAAAGCAAGCCTCCAGGACTCGAACCATAGTCAGCCATGTGGGAGGCTTCACCACCATGCCACTAGCTGCTGCTGACCCTGGCAAAAAAAAAATTTTTTTTCCTGGGAGATGTTTTTACTATAGGGCACGTGTGCTCACCAGAAAGACAGAGAGAGACAGAGAGACAGAAAGCGAGAAATCCCCCCCCAGGGGGGATGGCCACGCCGCAATCCCTTCTCCTCCATTCTCCTCTCGGGATCTTGGGCACGCACGCACACGCGCCCGGCGTGAGTTTAAGCCACCGGGTCCAGGACTCGAACCGCGGTCAACTACATGGGAGTCCAGCGACATAGCCATTACGCCAACTGCTGATCCCCTAGCAAAAATGTTTTAGAAGAGGAAATCAAAGCCCGTGGTTCCCGCTCTGCCATACAACACATATCCGACCCCTCAGGCCTGTCCCTGCGGAGCGGTCTCTGTCCACACCTGTGCTCTCGGGTCTTCCGGCTTTGTTTCTCGCCGTTCTCTCTGGGGTGTGCGTCCAAGCCCGGCTCCTCGGGGTGGGTCTCCTCGGGGTCTGTCAGTTGGGAAGGAGGCTCACCTTGCCTGTTTTCAACAGAGTTCTTACTGCAGAGGGGTCCAGTGCGCGTGCTTTTCCAAGGATGACAAGTACGTGTACGCGGGCTTGAAGGATCGCTCCGTAATCGTTTGGAGTGCGCTGGATGGTGAGTCTCTTTTCTTTCTTAACATCTACTTATTTTATCTGTTCATTTGTTGACTTTTAAAATAATTATTTTAAAAAATTTTTTATTTATTCATTCATTTATTTTCATTTGACCAGAGAGAGACCCAGAGAAATAGAATGAGAGAAAGCAAGCCACCAGGTCCAGGACTCGAACTGTGGTTGACCGTGTGGGAGTGTCTAGCGTCTTAACCACCACGCCACCTGCTGGTCCCCAAGAATTTTTTTTTTTTGGTTATTTAATATATATGCAATATATAACATACCCTATATTATATATTACCCTATATTATATACTATTATATAGTATATATCATTATAATAATATAGCATATATATGAAATATTGTATAATATAGCATATTATATATACATATATAAAATAACCAAAGAAATTAAACAAATAAGTAATAAAATAAAATAACTATTAATAAATAATAAATAAAATAAAAATGTATGTGTATATATACTTTTTTTTTTTTCACTATCGGGCGCGTGCGCTCGCCAGACAGACAGAGAGAGACATAGAGACAGAAAGCAAGAAATCACCCCCCAGGGGGGACTCCATTCTCCTCCCGGGATCTTGGGCACGCATGCACACGCGCCCGGCGTGAGTTTTAAGCCACCAGGTCCGGGACACGAACCGCGGTCGACTACGTGGGAGTCCAGCAACATAGCCATTACGCTAACTGCTGGTTCCCTTATTTTTAGAGAGAAAGGTTTTTGCTATAGGGCACATGTGCTCGCCAGGGAGACAGAGAGAGACAGAGAGACAAAAAGTGAGAAATCATCCCCCAGGGGGGAATGACCATGCCACAATCCCTTCTCCTCCTTTCTCTACTAAGGTTTTTGGGCATGCATGTACATGCACCCAGCATGAGTTTAAAACAGCTGGCTCTGGGACTTGAACCATGGTCAGCCATGTGGGAGTCCAGCAACATAACCATTATGTCATCTCCTGGTCCCATTATTCTTATATTTTAGTTTAGCCAGAAAGAAACAGAGAGAAAGGGAAAGGGAGAAAAGCAAGCCACCAAGTCCGGGACTTGAACCACAGTCGGCCATGTGGGAGTCTAGTTCCCCTTAACCACCATGCCACCTGCCAATCCCTGTTTGTTGTGATTTTTAAGCCATCAGGTTTGGGATTTGAACTGTGGTTGACCAACTGCTGGTTTCTTTTTTTTTAAGAAGAGATTTTTGCTATAGGACATGTATGCTTGCTGGAGAGAAAGAGATAGAAAGCAGGAAATCACCCTCCAGGGGGAAGGCCCCGCCACAATCCCTTCTCCATTCTCCTCTCGGGATCTCGGGCATGCATACACATGCACCTAGCATGAGTTTTAAGCCACCAGGTCTGGGACTTGAACGGTGGTTGGACTACATGGGAGTCCCAAGGTATAAGCATTATGCCACATGATGGTCCCACTTTGAAAATGCCACGTCTGGAACTCGCAGTTAGCGTAATGGCTATGTCGCTGGACTCCCATGTAGTCGACCATGGTTCAAGTCCCAGACCCGGTGGCTTAAACTCACGCCGGGCGTGTGTGCATGCGTGCCCAAGATCCCAAGAGGAGAATGGAGGAGAAGGGATTGTGGCATGGCCATCCCCCCTGGGGGGTGATTTCCTGCTTTCTGTCTTTCTGTCTCTCTCTGTCTTTCTGGCGAGCATACACACCCTATAGCAAAAACCTCTCCAAAAAATAAAAAAAAATATGAAAAATAATAAAAGAAATGAATAATAAAATTAATTAATTAAGTTTTAAAACATTTTAAAAAGGGATCAGCAGTTAGTGTAATGGCTATGTCGCTGGACTCCCATGTCGTCGACTGCAGTTCACGTCCTGGACGCGGTGGCTTAAACTCACGCCGGGGGCACGTTCGTGCGGGCTCCCAAGAGGAGAATGGAGGAGAAGGGATTGCGGCGTGGCCATCCCCCCTGGGGGGTGATTTCTCACTTTCTGTCTCTCTGTCTCTGTCTGTCTGGTGAGCACATGTGCCCTATAGCAAAAAAAAAAAAAAAAAACTCTCAAAAAAAAAAGATTTAAAAAAGAAGAACATGTAGGACTGGACCTCCGTACCCCAGTGTTCTCATCTGTGACCCGTGTTTCACCCTCCAGGTACCCTGCTGGCTGTCCAGTTCGTCCACGCGGTGGTGAACAGGATCATCCCAACTGCCAATGGTTTCCTCGCCCCCACCAGACATGGCTACGTCATCCGAGAGCGTTTCCAGTGCCCTTCATCAAGATCCTCTCAGCAGGACCCCCTCAAGAACTTCAAGAAGGCAGTGTGGATGGTCAAATCCAGGCAGAGAGAGGAGCTGGCTGCAGCCATGGGAGCACCCCAGGACGGGTCAGAGAGCACCCAGGAAAATGAATCCAAATCAAATAAACGCTCCCAAGTCTGCCTACTGGTCTAGAAATACCGCCTCCCTGGAAGGATGGAGCTCCGATGAGTTAGCCTTGTTTAATCCGGTTGAAGCAAAAAGAATATATTTTCTGGGGTATATTTGAGCCCACGATCTCAGATTCCAAGACCTAGACCTCACCTCTCCCCAACTTTTCATTTCTCTTCTTTTATTTATTTTTTTTAAGACGTTTTGGCCTCAGGGTGCGTGCACTCGCTGGAGAGAGAGAGAGAAAAAGAAAGTGAGAAATGACCCCCCAGGGGAGATGGCCATGTTGCAATCCCTTCTCCTCTATTTTCCTCCTGGGATCTTGGGCACGATGCACATGCACGATTTTCAAGCCACCACGTCTGGGACTCGAACCGTGGTCGGTCATGTGGGAGTCCAGCAATAAAACCGCTATTGCCAGCTGTAGGCTCCCTCTCTTCCCTTCTTGTCAGTTTCATTCTCAGACCTGCCACACCCAGGTTAGGAACGTGAAGGTCCATATGCCCTCATTACCAGGTTTAGGAGGAAAAAGAGCTTCCCTTTTCCAATAGTTTGAACCGAAGTCTTAAACTGGACTCGACTGGCCCCCAATTGGCTCACACACTCATCCTCGAGCCAATCATTGTCTCCAGGAGAATGCAATGCTCTGATAGGCTGGGCTTCATCCTTGAAGCAATCACTGTCTCCTGGAGAATGCAGTGCTGATAGGCTGGCCTTCACCCAATCATGGCCTCTGGGAGAATGCATTGCTCTGATAGGCTGACCTTCAGCTTCCAACCAATCATTGTCTCCAGGAGAATGCAGTGCTCCTATAGGTTAGCCTGACTCAGTGCTCACCAATGGGGATGAGGTTGGGGAAAACACCACCCAATCCTATGGGCTGAGAATGGCAGAGACTATTCTTGGCAGGAAATCAGAGTACTGGTACCAGTTGAAGGAGGGATGCATGAAAGTGAGACAGACCAATCACTAATGTTGACCACAAAGCTTTGCAATCTATAAAAGTACTAGGTCTAGGACCAGCAGATGGCGGAGTGGTTAAGTCTCTGGACTTCCACGAAGTCGGCCAAGTTTCGAGTCCCGGACCCGGTGGCTCACTCACACTGGGCACGTGCGCCCCAAGAGGAGAATGGAGGGGAACCAGCAGTTAGCATAATGGCTATGTCGCTGGACTCCCACGTAGTTAACCACGGTTCGCGTCCCGGACCCGGTGGCTTAAAACTCACACTGGGCGCGTGTGCGTGCGTGCCCAAGATCCCGAGAGGAGAATGGAGGAGAAGGGATTGTGGCGTGACCATCCCCCCTGGGGGGTGGTTTCTCGCTTTCTGTCTCTCTGTCTCTCTCTGTCTTTATGGCAACCCCATGTGCTCTATAGCAAAAACCTCTCCAAAAACAAGCCATAGATCTGCCATCCCTATTCCTTGGCTCCTAGACTTTTAGGAGAAAGATGGGGGGTGGGGTGTTTATTTGCTTGTTTTTGTCAGAGGGTGTGCTTTCTGTCAGAGATATGGAGAGACAAAGTGAGAAGGACAGGAGAAAGCACCCCTCAATGGGGCATGGTCATGTCACAATCCCTTCTCCTCCATTTCTCCATCATATTGGGATTTGGGGCACACATACACATGCACCCAATGAGTTGTCTTCCGAGCGAACGGGGCTGAGATTCAGTCCCTGCCGTCAGCCACATGGGATTCATTTTCTGTAGCCCCTAGGTCACGGGGTTGATCCTAAAGATGATTTAAAAAAAAAAAAATAGGTTTTTACCATAGGGCATATGTACTTGAGAGACAGAGAGAAGAAAAGTGAGAAATCACCTCCCAGTGGGATGGCCATGCTGCAATCCCTTCCCCTCCTTTCTCCTCTTGGGGTTTTGGGCACGCACGCACACGCATGTGACGTGATTTTTCTTTTTCTTTCTTTCCTTCTTTTTCTTTCTTTCTTTCTTCTTTAAAGAGATTTTTGCCATAGGGAAAATGGACTTGCTGGAGACAAGGAGAGAAAGAAAGTGAGAAATCACCCCCACAATCCAATCTCTTATCCTCCATTCTCTCAGGATTTTGGGCATGTACGCACACACACACCTGGCATGAGTTTCAAGGTGTCGGGTCTGGGACTCGATCTGTGGTCAGCCATGTGGGAGACCAGCACTATAACCACTACACAACCTGCTGGCTTTCTTGGCGTGATTTTCAACCTGCCAGGTCCGAGACTTGAACTGTGGTCAGCCATGTGAGAGTCCAACGCCTTAACCACCACACCACCTACTGGCCCCTAAAGTTTTGTTGTTGTTGTCATCTTAAAGACTGGAGACTGTTGCCTCCCTGCTTTGCTCTTGAACCATCTTCCTGTGTAAGTTCAGGTATCCAATGGCTTCCATTTCTCTCAAATAGATCTTTCTTCCTTGCCTATAGCTGCCTTTTCGGGGGGGGGGAGGAGAGGTTTTTGCTATAGGGCGCGTGCGCTCGCCAGAAAGACAGAGACAGAGAGACAGAAAGTGAGAAATCACCCCCCAGGGGGGATGGCCACGCCGCAATCCCTTCTCCTCCATTCTCCTCTCGGGATCTTGGGCATGCACGCACACGTGCCCGGCGTGAGTTTAAGCCACCGGGTCCGGGACTCGAACCACGGTCGACTATATGGGAGTCCAGCGACATAGCCATTACGCTAACTGCTGGTCCCTCAACCGTAATGTTCAAATCCATGCCCAAATGCATCAGGCAGCAGCCCGTGAGATTTTGGAGAGGACTAACTTCAATGCCCGTCATCTGTAATGAAGAACTTAACTTAGGTCGTGAGGAATGTTCTTGAAATAGAGACGTGATCTTTGCGGCCCCTTCTATGAGTCTGAGGTTTGCTCTCTGCAGAAATTAAGTGGATGTTCTCAACGGAGTAAGATTTCATCTATAATTCTGGTTAAAATGGTAACGTCTGTCTCAGCAGCCTTGGGCAAAATCAATTCCTTGGTATGTAATTAAATGTAGGAAAGACATTTTTGCTAATAAAATGCTACTTCAAATTGATGCTTATGTTTGGTTGGTTTGTTTGTTTGCCGTAGGGTGCGTGTGCTCGCCGGTGAGAGACGGAAGTCAGAGAGAAAGAGAGAAATCACTCCCTAGGGGGGAAGGTCATGTGGTCATCCCTTCTTCTTCAGTCTTCTTGGGGATTTGGGGCACACATACACACGTGCCCAATGTGTTTTTCTTTCTCTTCTTTCTTCTTTTAGGGAGATTTTTGCTATAGGGAGTATGCACTTGCTGGTAAGACAGAAAGAGACAGCGAGAAATCGCCCCCCAAGGAGGATGGCCATGCCACAATCCCTTGTCCTCCATTCTCCTCTCGAGATCTTGGGCATGCACACATACACGCCTGGCATGAGTTTTAAGCTGTTGGGTCTGGGATTGGAACTGTAGTAGACTACATGGGAGTTCAGTGACATAACCCTTACACCATCTGCTGGTCCCACCCTAGATGTATTTAAAAAAAAAAAAAAGAATGATTTCATTTGACTTTATTTATTTATTTATTTCAATTTGAACAGAGAGAGAGGGCAAATGAGAAAACAAGCTGCCAGGTCCAGGACTCAAACCACAGACCGCGGTCGGCCATGTGGGAGTCTAGTGCCCTTAACCACTGTACCACCTGCAGGCACCCCCAACATGTTTTTCAAGCCACCAGGTCAGGGACTCAAACCACGCAGTTGGCAACGTGAGATCCAGCACTTTGACCACCATGCCACCTACTGTCCCCTAAATTCAGGATTTTTTTTTTTAGAATTATTTATTTTATTTTATTTATTCACTCATTTGTTTAAATTTGACCAGAGAGAGGCGCACGAGAGGTAGAGGGAGAGAAAGTGAGTGAGAAAGTGAGTGAGAAAGCAAGCCATCAGGTTCGGGACTCGAACTGTGGTTAGCCATGTGGGAGTGTCCAGCGCCTCAACCACCACGCCACCTGCTGGCTCCCTATATTCAGGATATTTTTCTTTTTGAGAGGTTTTTGCTATAGGGCGTGTGCACTTGCCAGACAGACAGAGAGAGACAGAGAGACAGAAAGCGAGAATTCACCCCCCAGGGGGGATGGTCACGCCGCAATCCCTTCTCCTCCATTCTCCTCTCGGGATCTTGGGCACGCATGCACACGCACCCAGCATGAGTTTAAGCCACCGGGTCCAGGACATGAACCGCGGTCAACTACATGGGAGTCCAGTGACATAGCTATTATGCCAACTGCTGGTCCCTATATTCAGGATTTTTGCCGAGCACTTTCATTTAAGAATTCGAGTGCAAATTAAAAAATAGTAATGATAAATATAGTTAAATAAAATATTTTTAAAAAAAATAAGAGAGAATTCGAGTGCTAGGAAATGTTTGAGGGGCCGGTAGGTGGCGTGGTGGTTAAGGGCGCTGGACTCCCACATGGCAGACCGTGGTTCGAGTCCTTGGATCTGGCGGCTTGCTTTCTCACTTTCTCTATCTCTCTCTCTCTCTCTCTCTCCTCTCTCTTATTCTGTTC